GTTTTTTTTTTTTGTTTTTTGTTTTTTTTTTTGTGACCTCTCGGTTGCTGCTTGTTTCTTTCTGACCTCCTGTCTCCTCTTTGGTATCATTTCCTCCATCTTGCCTCCTTACTCCCTACTTTCAGGCCCGTCTTCTCCTCTTCCTTTACTCTCTCTAACATTTGTGTATTTTGGAAGAGAAATAGACACCCCTGTGGCGATGATACGCCACTGGCACAAACTACTCCTGAGAGAGTACGTGCTTGTGTGTGTGTGTGTGTGTGTGTGTGTGTGTGTGTGTGTGTGTGTGTGTGTGTGTGTGTGTGTGTGTGTGTGTGCGTGCGTGTGTATTTGAGATAGCAGGCTGTCTTTATTTTATGCCAAAAACGTTTTTGTCAGTAACACAATATAAGTTGCTTCTACTTTATTTTACAATGTGTATTTATGTTATTTATTTTAATTTACATAAAGCATGCATGAAATCTCTTTTAAATGTGTGTGCAATAACTGTGACGTATACTGTACACTGTTTTTTGAGTTTTAGGTCATGCACCAGGTCAATTGTACACATATCCCGCTCGGTGCTGGCGTAAGAAGAGGCGGTTGAATATCTTGGAGGACCCACGGCTTGTACCAATTGAGTTCAAAATTGGTAAGGAGGAAATTAAATGGAATCTATCATGATTCTGAAGTATGTTCGAAGTTTTATTTTTGGAGGAAGGATGAAGCGATATTGTTAATAAAAGCAATATTGTTGTTCTCTCTGGTGAGTACATTAGCTAGAATGCATGTGTTCTCATGACAATGGCTCCTTCTTAGACTACGAGGCCTCCCTAAAGAAGGAGGGAGGTATTCCCGATGGCCCCGTGTTGGAGTCGCTGCTCGCTGGGGATACGCTGGACAAGAAGGTCGAAACAAAAGAGGAAGAGCCTATGAGTGAGTGTCAGGTAAGGCATGTCCGTTTTCCTACTCTCTTCAGTTTTGTTCTTTCTGATTTTCTTCATCTTTGTCTGTACTTGACTGTACTGCACAAGGATCCACTGGACTTTGCATGCTAATTACTTTGGGAGAGGTATGCCCTCTGATGAGTGACTTTCTAGTCACTGTATATACTAAGAGTTGCCCATCTTCAGATTTTTTTTTTAACTTCACATAAATGTGATAAAAATAAAATCCATGTGTCGTCACTGACGCCGGTGATGTTTGTTCTGTACAGAACTATCATTATATGAGGAGCAAGTGCTTTGCAATAATCTATATTTACCTACAGTGGACAGATCATACACCGATTACACTTCAGAAAACAGTATCAACATGCGCGAGGTAAAGATTCACCTCTCTGTCAAGCAAGTGATAGTATTTACAGTTTGAGAAAAAAAAAATCCCAGCAAGCTAACATTTGCACACCTCGCGAGAGGATTTTGGTCAAACAGGAAAATCTGTGCTTGTTCTGGGCTCACCGCAGCAGCAAATTCTGCATGGTGGGAATTTGCAGTTTGCAAATAAACATCGATCTCTCCCTTGGTTTTTCTAGCCAGTTCGAGGGATGCTGAAGCTAGCACTCCTAAATTGAATACCAGCAGCCTTAAAATATTAGGGTTTTTTTTTTTTTGGTTTTTTTTTAACAAGATAGAAAAATGCAGAATCATCCATTATTTTGTTGGAATGCAATATTTTAACAACAAAATACAGAAATTAGTAGGGTTACAATATGCTTGTTTAAGGAATTCATTCAAATGTACAAAACGGTTACATTTATCTTGCCTGGTTGGAAGCGAATCACACCGAAACCTTTGAATTTAGAATCCCAGCTGTACTCTTTGCGTGTGTGTGGAATAATTCCCTGCTTGCCTTCAACTTTGATAGTGTGGGCCCAAATTTGATTCAAAATACTGCTCGAGGGCCGATTTTTCTCATTGACTGGTTTTCTCTCACTTACCTGCCCCTTTCAGAAACAAACGACAATCCAAATCAATTACGGTGACAAACTCATTTCCTTCAGCACACTTTTCTGTGTGCTGAAGCTCTTCTTCACGTGATTAGTGACTAGTTGATGTCACAAATTGATTCCTCGACTAGTCTGTACAAAGCCTGTTCAATGACAACCGTGTCGGCTGTGTAAAATGTGTTCTTTTTTGTTTGTTTGTTTGTTTTTAGCAGCAAAACATCTTATATAAAAATGCACAGCGTTAAAATTTATGGACCACTGCTGGTTGTTGTACGTCATGCATTTTAATAGATCTGATATATTTTGGACGCCAATGGCACCAGTCCACAGCACACCAAATTTCCATATAATGATGGCAAACCAAAAATTGTAAGATTTTCCTCTCCGTTTGTAACAATGTGTGCAACAATCCATGAAGCCAAATGTCTTCATTGTGCATTATGTTCATGACTCGGGCTCACTCATATTTGACAGCGAGCACCAAGCGCACGTTCTTGTGTTGTGTTAATCCACACTTTCTATTTCCCCTACAGAAATTACTTGTTGGAGATTTCCCTCATGAACTGGAGGTGGATGAGATGGAAGAAGATGTTCCGAAGCGCAAGAACCGTACCAAAGCACGGGTAAGCCCATCACTGCCTTTTTTTTTTAATTTTTTTGGTCATATAAAACGTACAGTTTACATTTTCTTTTGCTAGAAAACTGGAAAGAAAAATTGGTCACTGATGGTGTCGTGGTTCACTCACCTGACTCCATGCAAGCAGCGCGGACTCAATTCCTATTCAGTGACAGTGCGATATGTGAATGTGAATGGTTGTCTGTCTCTAGATGTGCCCTGTGATTAACTGGTGACCAGCCCGCATGTCATGATTCTGTTTATGACCAACAGGTGGCACTGTAGGGCTCGCCCTACAGCTGCACACCTGTTGGTCATTATGTAAGTAGTAGTATAAAAGGACTCCCGCCCGACCATTGATTGTCGGGTCATGTTTGTTCCAATCATGTTTCGATTAGTGATAGTTTTTGCTTCAGTCATTTGTTTTGGTTTGCTGCTTTGGATTCTTTTTGTTTTCAGGACTTTGTTTTGTTTAGGATTTAGTTTTCTCTGTGTTTTAATACAATTCTTCAAGTTCACCCTGCTCCTCCCTCCTGACTGCTTTTTGGGGTCCTCCACCACCTTGCAACGTGAAACCGCAGTTGTAGTCCACCTGTCAACCAGTCAGTTCCCTTCGCCCCCGAGCAGGATAAGCAGCCGTGTAGCACCGTCAAAGGAAATGGGGTTGAATCTCAACTTGGACCTTTATGAGTGGCGCTTGCATGTTGTCCCCGTGCTTGGGTGGGACTTCTCTTGGCATTCGGGTTTTCTCCCACGTTCCAAAAACACGCACCTTTGATTAAATATACAGTAGAATCAAATTCGGGTGTGAGTGTGAATGATTGTTTATCAATGTGGGCCCAGTAATTGACTGGCAACCCATCGAGTGTGTACCCCTTCTCATGCCCAAAGTCAGATAGGTAAGGTCTGCCTCACCAGTGAACCTGAACGGTCTGAATTAGAGTGAAGACAAGCAATACAAACAATCCTTGTGACCAATTCCCACTTACCGTAATTATTGTTGCTAAAAGAAGTGTCTAATTTGCCCCCCAAAAAGTTTTTTTTTCTGTTTTTCTCTTACAGCTTTGATTGGACCACTCAGTTGTTATCCTTTTCTTCTCTTTGGGGGCATCCTGTGGGAATATAATCAAGTGTTAACAATGTATCTTGATTGTGATCACATGCACATACACACTCTTCACCAGGCGTGCTAATTGAAGCTGTTGGTCCCCTGCTAGGTGTCATCAGTCCCCTCCTGCTAGAAGTGAAACTTTGCACTGCGAGCAGATGATTAAAATGCAAATTTGCTTTTGTGTTGATACGTGGAGTGATGAGTGTGTTGCTCCACTCTTTTAATGTGTCTTTGCACATGTACCCGGATGTAGAACAGGGGTGTCAAACTCATTTTTTGTCGCAGGCCACATTACAGTTACCGTTTCACTTGGGGCGCCGTTATGGCTGTGAAACCATGTGAAGAAGTCAAGAATACTGTCATGAGCGGTTTGGTAAGAAGAAAACTTAGAATAGTTTTCTTAGATATTACATATAAGAATTTGGTGCAGATTTTAGCAAGCAACATAGAAATTGACATGTTTGATTTGCTTTTGCGGGCCATATAAAATGATGTGGCGGGCCAGATCTGGCCCCTGGGCCTTGAGTTTCACACCTGTAATGTAGAAACTGTCCTGTGCTTTTCATGTGCCTGTTGTCGAAATTGTGTGTGTGTGTGTATGTGAGACAGGCCTACGGGGTTGGTGGCATGAGAAAGCGACAAGAGCCACCTACTATAGAAGACAGAGACAAGCCTTATGTCTGTGACAGTGAGTAATGCACTAAAAGTCTATTTTTTTGGAATTCCCAAATTCAACGTAATACTTCATATGTTTTCCGTTGTGTGTCTGTTTTTGTTTTCTTTTTGTTTGTTTGTTTGTTTGTTTTTTGTGTTCCAGTATGTGGAAAGCGCTACAAGAACCGCCCAGGGCTGAGTTACCATTACACTCACACACATCTCGCGGACGAAGAGGGCGAGGAAGACTCGGAGAGGCACACACTCCCCTTCCAGCGCAAAAACAACCACAAGCGTAAGTCTGCTCATGATTGTTCCTTTTATCTCATTTATGACAGTGATTGTTCTATGGCGCAGCACGGTTGCCTGGTGATGAGTGTGACTACTTTGCAGTTTTGAGGCTCGAGATTTGAATCTTGACTTGGGCTTTCCAGTGTGGAGTTTGGATGTTTCCTGTGTTTTCACCAGCTTTCACTCACATGCCACAAAGACACATGTTAAAGATTCTAAATTCTTCATATGTGGTCTATCTATCTATCTATCTATCTATCTATCTATCTATCTATCTATCTATCTATCTATCTATCTATCTATCTATCTATCTATCTATCTATCTATCTATCTAGACCGCACAGGCATACCACTTGGATAATTTCCCACGGCACACCTGTCAATATCTCGCGGCACACCGGTGTGCCGCGGCACAGTGTTTGGAAAACACCGATGTAGTACATGACCAAACCATAGCATTCAGCTGCAACACTACGACAATGAGATCTCTGAGGCGCCATTAGGGACATAATTCAGGAATAACTCTCACATTTCCGACTGAAACACTCTCATACACACTAGTGATTTATTTATTCATTTATTTTTTGGATACCTCTGTGATTCCTCAATATTTTTTTAGCTAGTCCCCAGAATCTCTTCAATGCTCAATACTGTACTCACACCTTGATGCAAAAGGCTCTTAATATGGCAGCGCGAGAACAACTTTTGGGTCACTTTTGACGCATCAAGGAGCCAGGAGCTGAGAATGGTTAAAGTGAGAGTAATGAGATCGATAGCCCATGTTTTGGTCAAATGGAAAAGCCTGAGCATTTTAAGCGTTTTCATTTTATGGGTGATGCTTTCTTTTCTTTTTTTTTTTTTTTAATAAAATTTTTTTTTTTCAGTAGTCGTTCCTAATAAACACAAAGACTCATACATACAACATGCAAATGAAACTTGCACATTTGATTTTTAAAATTTTAGAACCTCTGCAGAAGATAACTGCAATCTACAGCAACAGCCATTTTGCTCCTCCACAGGCAGCGTCAGTCGAAATTCCTTTTATAAAAGTAAACATTGTAATGCAACTCCTGTATTGGAACTCATTAGATTGTGCCAGTGTGGCTAATCAGGTGGCCATGACTACAGTATGTGGCATTGTAAGATAAGATCTAAATTCCCGCGGAAACTGTGGCGCATGCCTCTGAGTTGATTGGCAGTATTCAATGTTACATTGGCCTGCCTGTCTGAACAGACTAGCCCATCGTCTATGCAGGGGTGTGGGCCTGTGTGTGTGTGTGCATGAGCGTATCTGTCTGTTTGGGTGTCTCGGTGTGTATGTGTGTGAATTTAAATCGTTTAATATCCTTCCCTGCCAAATTCAGTAATCACACACACACACACACACACACAATCACGCACGCACACACACAACAGATGCACATGCACGTGTGCAGTGTGCACACACTCAGCCTTTGAAAATGCAATCTTCTCTGCTTCAAATGCATCAAGGAAGCTTAGCTATCTTGGAGGCTATATATACTGGGTGCGTGTGGGTATGTGGGTGGGGTCATGTGAAGACTGTTCGCCCGTGCATGCATTCATGTCTATGTTGCAGCATTATGGCTCCCCAGTCGTGTGAGTCTGGCGGAGGACACGCCACCATCCGTATGTACTACCCCATACGCACTAATATTAATATCGCGTCTTTGAATGAGAACATCACGACATGCATAATTCATTTTTTATTCTGGCTCTAAAAAAGCTGTCTGGACACTGTAGGTACTGTATGCAGCATCCACCGCGCAACATACAGAACTCAAAAACTGCTTGATTTGGGTAAAAGTGTTTCATCATTTGCTCCCTCTTTTTCTTTTTTTTTTTTTTTTTTGGCACACACTTAGTTTTGTCTTCCTTTCTCATCCTCCTCGGAATCCTCTTCAACATGTTCTCCCTCGTGTCACTTCGGCCATCATCCAAATAAATCTTTGCTTTCCCTTGAACACTGACAATATGCTATTTACTTCAATTCACCATTATAAATGCACGTGTGCTAAATGTTTTATTTTTTTTTTTTTTTTTTTGTCTCTGTGGCTTCTCATTGTCCAAATATGAGGCGGACAAGAATGGAATTGCATGGAGGCAAAGAATGTGTCTCTGTGTTGGCAGTGATGTGATGGCGAGAGGGTTGAGAGTAGAAGACAGATGGGAGGAGGGGGGGGGAGGTGGGGGAGAGTCGGGTAATGGGGTGATGGGCTCAGTGTCCAACTGAAAATTGGTTTAGTTGGAATCAAGAGGAAGGTAGGCCTATCGGTTGATGTGAACGGAAAATGAAACGGGCATTTGGCATCAGACAACTAGAGTCGGACAGTATAGATAAAGATAAGGGAATAATAATCCAAAATGGGAGGGGCTTTATATACTGTAGTGCACCCCTATTCCAGGATCGAGATTCAGGGGACCCTTTATGTGGACAGGCAAACAAACAGAAGGACAGACTGACAGACAGATTGAGTCGTGTATATGTGCACATCAATGTGTTTGGCATGTAACAGAGTTCTTTGAAAGTCAGAGTGGGCATTGTCATCGTTGTAATTCTTTTCATACCTCAAAATGGCCTCCTCTTGCAGGGTCTACAGACCACCGGTTGTAGAGATGAATTCTGAGTGGCAAACCCCAAATAACGATCACTAACAAGATGGCTGCTCTGTGTCCATTGTCACATGGGCTTCACTTTTTCCTCTCCTATTTACACCCTCCCATCTGGCGAACAAGTAGTCTCTCTCTCTCTCTCTGTCTGTCTGTCTGCCTGTCTGTCTCTAAAACAACATTCATTCTATTGTTCTATGTTTTTACGATCAGTTCTAGGCTTTATGCACAGCATCCTTCTGTATGCGTGATGTCAAGGGAGCTTTTGCATATTCTACTGTAATTAGTTAACATTTTAGCGAGCTCTTTATGATTTTATTTCTATTGTCGTGATTATTCTTTTATCATTTATGGACAGCATTTTATTATGGTTGTTGTGCAGTGCTAAATTTTTACATGACATTCGAATTAAGAAAGACATTTCAATTTTTTATTTTTTAAGGCAAAAGCAAACAAAGATTTATTCCAGCTGGGACTCAATCTTTTGCCAAAAGTCTCATCGATAAAGAAATATCTGTGTCGCTGTAACAATCACACTCGGCCAATTTCTTTCTTAAGCCATTCGACAACTTTTTGAGGATCTGAATGTGTCTGTAATTTTGCTGAGAAACCTAGAATTAAGTCAATAAATCCACCATACCTGCTCTTATCCAGGCTCTGCATTGCCCTCTCGAAATACAGTTTGTATATATGAAGTGACTTGTGACGTGCGTGTGTGTGTGAGGACCAACCGTGCATCATTTCTTCACTCAAACCAGAAGTGACATCATCGTTTCAGACACCAGACATCAACAAACCAATTTTACTCATCAACAACTGCATCCTATTTATCCTGCTCATCTAAAACACACATACATTTTAATTTCTTTATTCAAGTAGTTCATTTTTGCTTTCATGATTTTTCAAGGTGACTCACCGGTTCATCAACAACTGCATACTATTTATCCTGCTCATCTAAAACACACATCCATTTTAATTTCTTTATTCAAGTTGTTCATTTTTTGCTTTCATGATTTTTCAAGGTGACTCACCGGGCGGGAGGGCAGCGCCCTCAAACCCTCGAATGATGAGCTGCTGGTGTCATCTCCAGGCCTTGTTCTTAACCACTCATAAAAATAATAACAATAATAATATTAATAGTAATAATAATAAAAATAACATTAAAAAAAATAAGATTCTTTATGAGAATCTGAATTTTCCTTCATTAAATTTGTGCATGGATCCATACATCAGACACATTGCCAATCACAGCTTGGCCAAATAGGCATTCATTCCAATCATCATTGAGGGCATTTCCTTGTCAAGTCGTATACGGGAATGCGTCACAAACATGCTGTTCCTCTAATCCTTTGCCACGTTGAGATGTCCCATTCAGCGCCTTCATGGATGTGTTCATAACTTTTCATGTACTGTGTGATTTGTTGATTGTTGCCGCTGCTGCTTGGCTCAGGAGAGGAAGGGAAATGGCTGTTGCCTAGCAATGTGGTTTCCATGGATACCGCCAGGGCTCCCACCTAAAGACTACACTCTTATGTACATTGAAAAAAAAATGAGACAGTCATGAAGGGAGAGAGAGAGAGAAAGAGAGAGAGAGAGCGAGAGAGAGAGACGCAGACAAACAGACAGAGAGACCTGGAATGAAATAGGAGACGTGTAATGAGGAAGGAAGAGGGGAGTCAGACACAGTGGGATGGACAAAGCCAAATTATAAGGAGGCGAAGCAGAGTTCATTAAAAATAACAGAAAAAGAAAGCGACGTGAGACAGAGAAAAGGCTACACAGACAAAGACGAGAAGCAGTTTGAGCTGTAGCAACTGTGAGAAAAGCAACAGCAACAAAAAAGCGGAAAAACAAAACAAAACAACAACAATAACAACAAAAATCTCTTCATGATTCATCATATAGATTCCCCCAGAGTGTTGGGCTGGTGAAGGCAGAGTAATATTGGAGTCTGCTTCATTTGGTATTCTGTCTCAAGATGCTGTGCTGTGGCTTGCTGGCTGCTTGTTCTGTGGTCCCACACTTGCGACGGCCATGTTTGGATATTCTGCTCTCCCTAACCGCACACATGCACACACACACACACACACACACACACACACACACACACACACACACACACACACACACACACACACACACGCGCACACACACATGAATAGGGAATACAGCACTCCCAAGTGCGCTTCCGAAATCCCCGCTCACCCACAACCGATGTGTGTGTGTGTGTGTGTTGGCATCTTGTCTGGGTTTGCAGTCTCTATGACTGAATGTCATTAAAGCGCAAAGCCTCGCCATCAAATCTGTTAAAACACGAATACAGAATGAAATACTTTTGAAAATGATACAAGTTGCCTTTCTTTGGAATATTTTATA